CGGACCGCCAAGTGAAACACATATCTTCCTGCGGCAGGGGGTGCTTTGGTCGGAAAAAAATGAAATCTACAGATTTTTTCGGGATGTCCCTGGTAGTCACAAGTTTTCCTTGTCTATATTTCGTCCAGTAATTGATCTGTTTTGGCTGACTAGCAGCGCATTTTAATGAATATTCCTGGTTTTCCAGTTTTAATATCATAGTCTATATTCATTTATTTCTGTCAACTTTGATCAGCTGTGTGCGTGTTCCAAATAGAATTGAGGACAAAAAGGTATGGGCCCCATCGCGTGGCTCTTGCGTCTGTAATCTGAAGTACGCGTTCTTCTTGTCTGTAGCTATATAATTGCCTTTCAATTGAAGTATGAACTTTCCTAAGCATTCATTATGTTGATCATTAATTGACTCTTTGAGCTTGCAGTGAGATGCAAACCTATCAAGCTCTACAAATCGTAAACTGATCGAAACTAGCTAATTTGCTGTTTTGGCTTTGAGTATAATACAGGTGGCAGTATCATAGCGCTCCACCGGCTTCGTGATTGTCTTGTCTCAGGATAGATATTTGCTTGCATGAGATACATGAAGGTGTCAAAGGGATAGAGTGTACTCATGTCAAAAAAGGGGATGTGATCCAGCACAGCTTTGTACCTTCTCCGATACCCCTCTAGATCACTGACAATTGCTTCCAAACCAGATATGAACTCTTGCTCGACTGCCTTGGCTTCAGCTACTGATTTCTTTGACTTTCGAGGCTCTGGTTTGTGGTTTAGTGGAAGGTAATACGACAATTGTTTCCAATCAATCCATGTTCCTTGCACCTTAAACTGGTCCAAGTTGGTGAAAATGGGAACGGTCCCACAAAGGATTGTGTCCATGAGTCTCTGCGACCCCAAAGTATCACCAACAACATGGAAACCAAACTTCGCCTGTGCAAGCGCTGGGCAGCGGTCTCCCTTGCCACAGTAGCTAGAAATGGAAGAGGAACGATTCAGCCAGGAGCACAGATTTTGACGGTGCCGAAATCGCATCTCTCCAACCATCGTCACATCTAGATCTTTTTTCGAGCCAAGGCTATTTTTACATGCAGTTCCGACTTTGTATGCGGGCAAGGTGAAACGGGAAGGCAATTCGTACCGTTCCTTCCTTCGAGAAATACCATGGAGGAAATCGATCCCTTCAAATACCACAGCATTCATTTTCGGTAGCATCTCTAAAAAGAACTTCGCATACCCTGGTCGTTGCCTCTTGTTTTCGTCCCATACGTCACTCACAGGGAGAAAGTGCGAACGAACAATCACATGCTTTTCGGGATATTGCTGAAAGGCCGTTGATGCACAGAGCTGCTCGGAAGTATAGTTAAGTAGCTCCATGTTACACCTTTCATTGACACACAGTCGCCGTCTTTTCTTATTAAAATAGTAATCAAACTGATTCAATAGAATGGGAACGAAGAAAAGTTTCGCTTCGTTGATGTTGTGGGTTCTCATGGGATGCTTCAAGCTTGCTTGGAGAAACCAGTAATCATCACCATGTTTGAAGCGATTTGTTCCGTTGAAGCTGTGATTCCGCATGACAGAGGCAATCGGTAAATCGGCGATCGTTCCATTGATCCAACCAAACTCTTCGTACACATAGAAAGGAACACTCAGTAAGTATTGCGGTGGATGCGAGGTTTGCTGCATTGGTTCTACTCCAATGGACGAATCGACGGCGTAGGTTTGCGTGGAAGGCACGGATATGATCGAACTTATCGTGCCAAACGCAACGACGCTTGAAAAGAGCATTAGATACTTCCGTGCAAGGTTGTGATTCGATTTCATTCCATCTTTGTTACACCAAACAAATGCTCAGACATGCGACTCCTCTGATAGTCGCACCACCTCGTACTGCATATTGATCGGCAAGACGGGAAACGTATGGGCGTTTCTAGCTCTTCCTTAGTCTCAATTTCCGTCGTGTCGATTACGGCGCGTCGCTTCAGTGAAGTACACGGTTGGCGGACGGAGCGAAGAGTGTCGACGAAGAGGGCGGAAGATTGG